AAGAATTTTTGAAATCGTCCCAATAGTTTTTACTTAAATTGAATACATCTAAAAATATTTACGCTTTATAATATTAGTATTGATTTAACTCATCTTAACAAATACGTTACGTTACAAGAGTGACCTTACTGAGTTACTTTTAATGACGAAGGCTAGTGAAGGCTACATATCTACTGATCTCTCACATTTAACATTAATTTCAGTAACAAAATATATGTTACATGTTTTCTTTAAGTAACAAAACGTAATGTTACGCTTTCTACAAGTAATTTACATCTTTTGCTATTCTTGTTTGTCAATCCTAGTATTCTTAGACACGACCGGTGCGTGGGTGGCTTTGAATTTTAAACATTAACCGGGAAGCATATTGCTTGCTTCATTACAGCTCTAATACCTTATTAGAAACTAGTACTGCAACTGTGATTACTCTATGACTTAACTTCTACAGATCACAATACTCTTTGATTTAGTAGTAACGTTCAAGAATATTTTTTTACATCTCTTTTATTTATTAAGTAACACAATAATTATACTTGTACTAAAAATATTAACAACTTTTACCGGGCCTTGAGTAGGCATTAAATTCACCATACTTTATACTAGTATTATAAATGGGAAAGTTTAGATGGATGTTTGTTAGAGTTTGTAGACTGAACGGCTGAACGGACTTCGATGTAATTTGCTATATATGTAGAGGATAGTCTGGAAGAACACATAGGCTACTCGCTTTTCATTTTTTTATTCCACGCAGACGGAGTCGCGGGCGAAATCTATTTATGGCTATAAATAAGCCTGAATTTAATTTAATTAATTCTATCTTTCAAACTCGAGTCAATCATTACGTATCAATTTGTATGCATCGTTTGGACGATCAAAATAAACTTTATCTAATATAATAAAGCATATTTTAATTTCCAGTTTAAAATTAAAATAAAAAACATTTTAAAATGAAAGCTTACTATTATGTTCCAATTAGTAATCATTGGCTAACCACAAATTATTAAAATGATGATGACTGTGGTTTTAAATGTTTATGTTTGATTTTTGTGGCAATTGTTCAAAAATATTTTTACATTATAAAACAGTTAACGCGACTTTTAGGTGTATTTAAAACACTACAACCAAAGAGGTTAGAAATTCCATTACTGACAGCATTTACAGCTAATTTTATAGCTATCGTGTTTAGTTACAACATTTATGTGATATCGGAAATGTCTCAAATTATAATGCCTAAGAGATAAAGGCAATTGAAATTACTGCGACCTACTTCAGTGTCGTTACAATTGTTCAGTACTGGTAACACTGTCGTTATTTATGTACGACAACCAGATCTGCGGCGCTAGACAAGATAATGTAGATATTCCGGATACCCGTGTCCCCGCCTTGCAAGTGTGTCAACACCCTTATGTATTATAAAGATAGGCGTTATAATAGAAATAGATATTTGGCAGATTCTGGACATTGTAAAATCTAACATGATGGAAGAATAAGGCACTTTTTCTGGGGTATGTTTTTCTAATGGGTTCCAATCGTGAATTTATGGTCCGGTGAAACATGTTCTTAGATGCAAACTGTTCTAATATAAACATGAACAGGTCTCAGCTATCTACCAGTATTCATAGTTAACGATTTCCTCGTGTCACATAAGTTGTTCTTCATTAATGCTTACCGATAGCTGGTTAAGGCTGCACATGAAAGTCGATACTGCACCATGTTTCTAGATTATTCAGCATGAGCTTTTTATACATTATATCTTCTAATCGATTCCCACATTAAGTTAACTGACGATTTCCAATTTGTCCACTAGAAATTGGCCTATGAATTTTAATCTGTCCAAGAAACTTAAGTAATATACACACAAACTTATGAAGTAGAATATTCTCAAGTTTAACTATCGATGTTTGATAGTATTTTGAGTAAATGGAAATATTATGGAAGTAAAAAATTGACATTAAGAAAAAGGAACTACTAACGTACCTCTAGGATCTAGGATTATAATTTTGTAGTACAGATACTCATATCTGTTCAACCTCAGTAAAGCGACGTGGCTGAAATGTTTAACAATAATGCAAAATGACCTTGTTCACTATATCTACGGGTGGTTTCTTTGTGATGTTCATAGTGTTTGTTATGTTATGTGGAACCATAACTAATGTGCTTAGTAGGTCACTACGACCGCTCGTGTCTTCGAGACACCTGCTAACTAATAAAATGAAGCCGTAAATATCTGTCCATGTGTACTATAACGGTTTAAAGGTTTGGCCATATAAAGGTTATAGTAAGAATTGCCTATCCCGCTTCTCTTGCGTTATGGTAATTTTCATTAAATGATGTAGGATTCAAAACTACTTTAAAAATCTAAGCAGTTCATTGCTTCGAATTTCTTTAAATTGTAAAAGCACTGTAAAAAATTCTATCGTCCCTCACATACTCTTTAAAAAAATAGAGATAAAATGTATTCAGTACGCAATTTCACTACGAAATTTATCAAAATTTAAACCCGGCGAATTCAAGTTCATTGAACTTCCATTGTACCATTATGCAACTGATGTTTTTCGAGTGGTTTATCGCGCATCGCTCTGCGCACTCATATTACGCACAAGTGTGTTCGTGCCTTAATCGATCTTGGTTCGGCAATTGGACCGCGTGGATGTTTCCGGGGGCTAAATATAATTTTAAGTCTTACTTGTAATTTATAAATGCATTCAATTTAATCATAAAATTGCTTTCAGTTTAAGAATAGAGAATGATGAAATATTTATAACTTTGTTTTAGTTTATAAGATTTCTTATTTTCTATTACCTTTACGTACAATGTATGTATCGAAATAAAAAGTTTGTACTTTAAATTCGGGTTACAGTAGTGAAGTTCGGACAGATAAAGCACTATATTAGTTTGCTATTTATGTGCTGTTCCCTGCAGTGTAGCTGCAACACTGCAATGCAGTAATTTTGTTGTAAACTTGTTACAGTTAATTTTACGATTGACAATAGCAATTTTACTATTATTAAATTATATCTTGAATGTTGTGCTAAGAAATTATATATTGCGTAGATAATACGTTGATAATAGTACGATTTTGCGAATAATGAAACTGTCCCGGTAAAACCTTTAGGTCAATATTGTGAAAATTCTCATGAGCTGAGTTAAGTGGAGTTTTATTATAACACTAGCTGTTCCTGTGCGATTTCATCCGCATGAAATTATAAAAACTTTATTTTATTGTCTACATTTGTCACATTCTCAATTGTAAATGTCAAAATACTAATTACCTTACTATGGCAATTTCGCTTCTTTGATGTTGGCAGCAACTTATATCTTTCCCACATTAGTGATTTTATCCAAAATATTTACCCCGTAAGTTAAATGGCGTGAAAATACATAGCCTAAAGCGTGACGTTAGTGTAAGGCTTTTTATTAAAAAAAGAATTATCCAAAAATATGCTGTAATTGCTAACATCTTAGGCAACAAAGAACTGTATGTTTACGCTTTATTATACCAGTATAGAAAAGCCCATTTATTAATTTACTACTTAGTTTAGTCTTCTTCATTGATTTTTTCTCTGAATAAAATTGATCATAAAATAGAATTGATTTGAAAGAATAATAATTTCGACCTTTTGTGTCCCCTCCCACTTATAATTTAAATTACATTTACATGCAAAGGTTTTGTGTGTAATATTTTAATAATTGAATATCTTACATAGCACGTAGGTTGTTTTAATGAGGAAAACAATTTTAAGGTAACTTCCTATATTAGTACATATTTGAATGTGGGAAGAGTAATCGAATGAGGCCTGTAATGAATGCAAGAGAAATATAAAATACAAGTCTGTAAATAGGAGTTATTTGTCTCTCAAGATCTTGATAAATGTCTATTTATTTTCTTCTTCATCAATTCCTTTAAATTGCGTTAACATTGTTTTACAATTCGTTGCGGAGTCAAATGATGGTTGTGTGTATGAGTCACGCGTTGCATTTTGCAGGTGATCGTTCAGTAATTGCTAACGATCTATTGATATGTACCAGTAAACGCGCCGCGCAAACTAAACTATCATTATATTAACATTGTGCTCGTTTCTGTGACTTCAAGGTGCTATAATGTATGCAGTATTCATTTGTATTCGCATAGATCGCATCCGACTATTGCATGTTAAGTTGTATGTCATGTCGCTATAATTGAAGTGATAATGAAACAGCCTGTCGGGCGACCATCAGTCTACGATGAATAGAAATTACTGGTTTAAACAAATTAATTAAGAACGCCTTAGTTGAGGCGAGATGGTCCCCCGAAGGGTTTGAAGCTAGTCGGTGTCGTCACCGGAAACACGTCAGTAAAGCCATTCTTAATTAGTTCATGAGCAAGGTTAAACAATACAAGTAACATCTATGCCGTTGCATTGTTGTATACTAGAAGAAAATTAAAACATGCCTAAAAATTTTGTAAGTTACACAAAAACATCATATCTTGCATATACAAAACTGTCTTATTATTAAATAGTTCTTAATATTTAGTACAATATCTGGATGAATAGCATGAAATTATTTTGTTGGATAGTGGTGAACAATTAAAAATAGGTCAAGTTCGATACGAAGTTATGTCGAAAGTAACGCAAATGAACCACCGGTTGCCGCTAATGCGTTGGTAATGAAGCATATTATCACTGCATGCACGCACGAACGCATAGAAAGTCTAGTCGTCAAGCATCATTTCGTTCATTTTCATCGAAAGTCATTTCTATTCTATTGTTTAATACTCTGCACAATCCGTATTGGCATAAAGTTCGTCATAGACGGGATCAGTCATAAATAGATGTATTCATTGCTCAGAAATGACAGCTTTTGCATCTACCTACAAAATAACATAAGTACAAAATACCATTTCTTGTATCCTGTTTATGCGCCTGTTAGTGGAAGGAGTTCTTACTACGATAAGTATTTCTGAGCTCTCGATGTTTCGGTGCACTTAAGTTGAGATTCTAGCGTTTGTATGTTTTCAGGCAAAGTCGGAAGAGCAGTTGGCGTGCGAGAAAGAATGGCTGGCGGCGGGTCACATGTGGCTGGCGCATCGTGGCGGGTTCACAGCCGTGGTGAGAGAAGGCGACGGCGACGCTGGCCGCGCCAAGGTCCGCGTGCTACATACTGGAGAGACCCTCATGGTTGATGAAGATGACCTAGAGAAGGTTAGTTATCGTATCAATCATTATATTAAAAGAGCAACCGCACTGAAAATGTATAGAAGTTATAAAAGCGACTGGTTGTGATTCTTTGCAGCATTTTTGAGGACTATTAAAGTAGTCAGATGTTGTAACGCAGATTGTGAAGGCTTATGATTAAAAGTAATAGTTATATTTATTATTTTAAACTATGACCTAGTGATGAAACCTGTATCTATAAATCTGATTACGAAAAATTGGGATCGATAGATGCTCTTTACGTAATAATTTCTTGTAATTTCGTCCAACTCGACCGGTTAGTAAGTCAAATTTACTTACAAATTATGTTTCTTCGGCCATGTTGCTACATTTTCCCTATCTGCTACATTAGTCGGTCGAAGATAAATTTTAATATGAGAAACACCGCTTGTAATGTTGTACCAATCGATTCGTTTATTTCTAACAGAGTTTTTATCTTTTAATGCATATCGGAACCGCATTTTATAGGTTCCGAGGTCAAGATTAGGGGAACTAGATGAAACAATCTTTAACGCCATTTGCTTTCGTTCCATATTTAAAATAATTTCGACTATTTTAAGCACCTCCACTACAAAGAAGTAAAATTATATTATTGTTATCTATATATGAATCAAAGTCTAATACATTCATGCGTACTATTTCAGGCGAACCCACCTCAGTTGGAGCGCTGCGAAGACATAGCGTCGCTGCGCTGCCTGAACGAGTGCGGCGCGTTGCACGTGCTGCGCTCGCGATATGCTGCGGGCCTGCCGCACGCGCGCGCTGGTCATGCGCTCCTGGTACTCGGACCACCGAGACGGACCGCACCGATTTACACGGAAAAGGTATTCCAGGATTTAATTTACGATATTTGTAGATTTGTACCTACCCTGTAAGGTTGCCTGCGTGGGGCAGTTGATTTTTATACGAACAAGATGTGTTAATTTATTTAATAATACCTTAATATATCAAATATTCTATGACGATTAACTTGATCTAATTAAATCGTTGGTTTTTGAAAACTTTTGTACTAGTTTGTTTAGGATAAGAAAAAAGTCAGTCTATTTAACGTACCAGAACTGCAAATGCGAAAAACACGACTTATATTAACACATTTTTATAATATTTCATTTTTTTGGTTGTTATTCCTAGGTGGCAGCCATGTTCCGCGGATGCCGTGCGGATGATATGCCTCCTCATGTGTTCGCCGCGGCTCAGTCAGCACACAGATGTATGCTCGCTTCTAGACGAGACCGCGCTATCGTATTTTTAGGAAGGTAAGCCTTAATAGAGTAATAAAGTAATAGAGTTGACATTAATCAATGTTAACTGTAGTTACCTCGAAATAAAGTATTGAGTTTGGCTACCTTGTTCATCGTAAGCCTTTTTCGGCCCTCTACTGGATCTAGGCTTCTCCAAAGTCTTCCACAGTATGCAATCCTCCAACATTTTTACCACATTTAGTGTGAAGTTGTATCTAAAGGTAATCATTTGTCTTTTTTGTGTTCGTAATTTCAAAGACTTTGAATGTCACCTAAATTGATAACGATGTCCTTTACTTTATTATCTTACAACCATTTTGTTCGTTTACTTCTTTATTTTCAGGCATACGATAAGACTAAAGAATATTAATTTGTTAACCATGACATTTTAGTATAGTTATATCGAAGCATGGAATACTATAAAATACACATTCCAATGTTCTAAAGGACAGTTAAGGTTTCTTATTTTACTTTGATACGAATTAAAATTGGTATATTCCGGCAAATTGACGTTTGAAATAAATGTTACAAAGGAACTGCTTGCCTTTGATGTTTAACGATGACGATAAACTCAAATCAAAATGTGGTATTTTTAGGCATACACTATATCATTCCTTCTAAGAGAATCATCTTCATACTTCGTACTAATATTATAAATGCAAAAGTTTAGATGGATGGATGTTTGTTAGACTTTATAGACTAAACGGATGAACGGATTTCAATTAAATTTGGTATAGATGTAGAGGATAGTCTGAACACATAGGTTACTTTTGTTTTTTTAACTTCACGCGGACGGAGTCGCGGTCCAAAGCTAGTATTATTATAAACCATGTATTATGGTTTATAATAATACTAGTTTACAACAAATGTATTATGTCGGTAGCATAATTATGTTTTATAATAAAGCACAGTTAATAACTTTTTTGTATAACAAGTTAATATATTCATTATATTTCTTGTTTATTACGTGGTTGTATAAGTTCAAGGTTTCCACAGCTCTATTGTCTATTGTAATTCAACATTCATTATGCAAAACCAGTTCTGATGGATGACATTATTTAAGAAAGTAATTTAAGATTCAACGTTAAAAAAAACACAGATATTTAACTAAATTCAGCAAACTATTGAGATCGTGATATAATACTTAATTAATTGTATAAATGCGAAAGTTTGGATGGATGTTTAAGTATGTTTTAAGTCTGGCATTGATGTAGAACATAGTCTGGAAGAACATATAAGCTACCTATTTTTTTTTATTTCCTTGCGGACGGCGTCGCGGGCAAAAGTTAGTAAATTACTTTTTTTATATTTTTAATTAAAAAAATATATATTTTCCATTGTAACATTTGAGTATAACTATTTTCTAAATACTAAATTTAGTAAAGCGCTGTGGATGATATGTAAATAAAGCGTACATCATTACTTATACATAAGTAGTGAAATATAGTATGTCCTATGACGTCAACTAACCTCGACTGAAAACTGGAACAAGAAGAAATGACGTTTCATTTGTTTTAAATGTATACAATACTCAGGCAAACAATACTACAAGTATTGTTGGAGTACAATACTGGAATATTATGTCTATTGTGAGCCATTTACGAGTTTTATAATGGTAAATTGTGAAAACAAGAATTTTAATCTATTGAAATTTAAACAGAGAAATCATGTGATTTAAGTTTATCATTTAAAAAATATACGACACAGTTTACGCAATCCGTGCTTCGAATCCCAAGTTAGATCTAAATAACATTTGCTCTTACTCAATAAAAAAACTGCACACTTATGTACTAGTTTATCTAGTTTTAAACCCTTAGATCTCTGAATGTTGCTTAGTCTATGGCGATGATATCTATTTTAGACTAATTGTGTTGAGATCAAAGACTTTTCAGTGTTATGTTTTCAGGTCCGGTTCGGGTAAGACATCAGCTATGCGCCACTGCGTATGGTACCTTGCGAGTGCGTACCCTGCGCAAGGCACGAAACTCACTCCCGAACGATTGAATGCGGCCTTCGATGTTCTTCACGCGTTCGGATCTAGTCGGTAAGTTTATTTGCAAATTGAGCTCTCTGGTGAGGGTCGAATAACGTAAAAGAGCGTTGGTCGCTCAGGAATTAGGTATTTGACTTTATACCCCATGTATTTTTACAGAACAAGTTCAAATCCTCACGCGTCACGCTTCGTATCGCTGACGTCATTGGATTTCGACGGCGGCGGTGCGCTCGTCTCCGCATCTGTGCAGACTTTGCTTCCAGATTTTAGACCTGGACAGTCGCCTCTAAGAGCTTTACACACGTAAGTCTTGATAAAACTTACCTTGTTTAAGCATGGCAGCAGCCATTAGTAAGGGTAACTTAACATGAGGAAAGAATACGAATGGAATAACACCTCACATGTCAATTGATACATACACTCATAAACCTTTCCGAATTAGTCCGGTAATAAGTATAATTTTTACCTTGGAATATAATTTGTCATCTGTACAGTCTGGGAAACTTGCAGTGTTCTAACTAAAAAGCGGTACAGTCGTTTGAACATTTTAAAACGAGACACGCAGCTCAAATCAATATAACGCACTTACGAAAAAAAGTTAGGTTAGGGCTAATTTCTTTTTATTATTAACCCTTCGTTTACACCACTCATTGCTACCTAATTAGTTATTTTTAGGAAGAGGCGGAGTTTGTATTGTAATGAACAAGAATTTTTTTCCTAAAGAGGAACACCGCGTATTTCCGCGACTGTACCTTTCAATTATTTCATTCCAGATTATTCCACGGCAGCGACGGTCGTCTTCGTCGTGAGTTGCTGCTCGACCAAGCGCCGGTTAATGCTCCCAATCCCTTCCTCACTAGCACTGATAAGGCAGAAGCACCCGCGGAATTTTCAGCCCTTAAAGAAGCTCTCCACGCTCTCTCTGTTACTGAACCTGAACAAGCTGTTGTGTGGAAGATTCTCGCTGCTATATGCCATTTAGGATGGTGTGGGGTTACAAAAGGTATGAATTAAAACTTTTGCTCTTTATTTGTGGACTTTACACTTACATTTTTTTATTAAAGAACGATATATTTGTATTAGATTGTGAAGATTGAAGTCAATACTGTATCTCAAACTATCATAGTTTATCTGTCGTAGTTTTAATTAGTATTTTAAATCGATTTGGTTCGAATTTATCCGATTTAGCAATATTTTTAGATCTTTGTCGTTGAGTTTTATACAATATTATTAATTAAAAAAGATCAGATGAATCACAAAGGTCGCATTTAACCTTTATAAAATTTGTATAGAATTTGTTATTGTCTGGAGAAATAATTTATTACACTTGTGATGAATAACTCATGGTGATGTCCTCAGCGAATGCGGGCTCAGGTCTGAAGTACCAGTTCGGCAGCAGCGGGTGCGCGAGCCGCGCGGCGCGGCTGCTGGGCGTGGCCGTGGAGGAGCTGTCGCGTGCCGTGTTCGCGCCGCCCGCGCCCGCGCCCGCCTCGCCGCAGTCCGCCACCGCCCTCAGGTATTACTTGTTCCTATAAAAACTCTTCGCTAAAACAAATTACATTAAAACTATATCGGGAAAAATACTTTCTCATATATATGGCAACTTGATTATGCATGTATGTAATTATTAATGCAAGGAAGAAATCTATGTAAAATTAAGTAATTATGTTGATAAGTCATATTTAAGTAAATAGATAAAAAAATAACCAAAAAAAAAGAAAAACTTGAAACTTTGACATTGCAGTTATACGTCTTCTTTCCTAGATATCCTTTTCTTTGTATAACATTAGGGATTTATTTATGTGTATTTCAGGAAATTCTAAATGTTTCTTAGATCATGTGCCATTTTCCAGAACGCCCTCTCCATCGAGTGATAGAGAAGTGCCCGGCTCCGAGGCATTGGATGCCTTCGTCACTGGACTGTACAATGAGACGTTCAACGTCGTTGCTGCTCTTGTTAACAGGTTTGGCATTATCTATACTTGTATTATAAAGGGGAAAGATTAGTATTTTTGGATTTTTTGACGGCTGATACTGTGCCGACCATCCGTAAAGGATAAGGGCAAGTGGATGATGGATTTTTGTATGTATTGAAATAACTCAAAAACTACTAAGCCGATTCCAAAATTCTTTTACTATTAAAAAGGTACTCTATCGCTAAATAAGCTTTGTTTTTTTCTATTTCTCAATTTCACGTAGACGAAGTGGTGAGCTACAGCTAGTCCATTATAGTTATTTCAGTGCCTATATTTTTTCCATACTACCAGGAGAATAAAATTAAAAATATGTCAGTAATGTACCTTATAGCCTAAATGCTGTAATTATTTATGTTATAATTGAGTAATTGCTAGACGAAGTTGTTAAGTGGTCTTCTAGTGAGACTTTTGCAGTAGATATCTAATAGTTAATGTTAATATTATAGGAGTTTATCGACATCTGCGAGGACGTCGGCGTCCATCTTGCTGCTGGACACGCCCGGCGCAGACAACCCGATGTGCGCCGGACAACAGAACGGAGCGCCGCTCTCCAAACTGCTCTCTAATTATTTACAGGTTAATACTATATCTCGTTTTAATTGGACATAATAAGAATCATAACAAAACCGTCGTAAGACCTGTCATGGTGTATGGATCTGAATGTTGGGCAGTAAAAGGGACGGATGAAAGGAGAATACATGTGGCGGAAATGCGAATGTTAAGATGGATTTGTGGGGTAACACGATTGGATAAGATACGAAATGAGTATATTAGAGGAAGTTTGAGAGTAGCCCCAGTGGTTGAGAAAATGAGGAGTAAAAGGTTAGAGTGGTATAGGCATGTTATGAGAAGGGATGAATCGCATGTAACAAGAAGGATGTTAGTTATGAATGTGGAGGGGTACATCGGTAGAGGTAGACTTAGAAAGAGATGGATGGATTGCGTGAAAGGTGACATGATCAAGAAGGTAGTGATGACTGAGATGACGGATGATAGAGGGCTTTGGAGGACGAAAACCCGGTGCGCCGACTCTACGGGAGTAGGATAAGGCAGGGGAGATGATGATAATAAGAATCATAACTACACTACTATACATACTAATATTATAAACAGCAAAGATTTGTATTATATATTTTTGTATGTATTGAAATAACTCGATAACTACTGGGCCGATTTTAAAAATTCTTACCCCATAAGCTATATTATCACTAAGTAACATAGGTTTTTGCTATTTTTTTTTTTGATTCTACAGCTAGTAAATAAAATGAAAGTAAAAATATGTAATTTTTCCAGGAACGTTTACAAGCAGTATTCCACGACGCCATGCTGGTCGCGCCGAGGGAGAGGTACGCGCAGGAAGGCATAGCTCTCGACGACGGCACTGAAGAAGGTATACACAAATAAAATAAATACAGAGCAATTTATTGAAAAAAAAAACATCGCCAGAGTTTCTAGAACCACTTAACAATATGTCAAAAAAACTATTGTTTGTATAAATTTAATAGGCTTAAATTCTGAGCCGATTCAAAAAATTCTTTCATTGTTGGGAAACTACCCAATCCCCAGGTGACATAGATTACTTACTAGATATTTTTATTTCTTCGCTGGCAAAGTCGCGAGTAAAAGTAAGGTTTAAAAAAAAATAAGCCGATACCGATTTCCAACGCTATCAAATCAAAAGATCAAGTTTTTTACTCCAAATAAAAAACTAATATGAGATATGGCAAATTGAAGTAAATTAAATCGTGATTTTGTTTTAGATTGGCTCTCGGAGACAGTGAATCCTGGACCGATGGTGGAGTTACTGGACAAATCTCCACAGAACTCTATTGTACGCAGTTCACAAGCTGATTTGAGAGATTGCGATCGACGGGGATTGTTATGGTAAGGTTAAATTAAATTAGTATACTTATTTATTTACATACAGAAATATGCATTATTAATCTATACTTATCTTATTATAATAAAGCATAAACACACACTTCTTTGTTGCCTAAGATGTCAGAAAATTACAACATATTTATGAATAATTCTTTTTTTAATAAAAACCTCTACACTTAGCTACAATGAGCTAGTATTAGGCTAATCCTCCAACACAGTTCTGATTTACATCTTAACAGTATTGATTTAGTAAATTTAAGATGGTAAACAAAGTTTTAGTGAAGTGAAAATTATTAATTCCGTTTTTTTGTTGTTTAAAATTGATTTTTAATGCTAGGAAAGATAAATATAGATATTTTTTCAGGCTTTTAGACGAGGAATCGATGTATCCCGGTTCGTCTGATGACTCTTTTCTAGAGCGTGCGCTGACGCACTACGGCGCGCCGCACCACACACACTACCTTATCAAGAAAGCCCCGCATGCTAGACAGTTTCTGTTGCAACATTTACAGGTAAAAACATCATATATGTCTCTTATACTCACACATGCTTATTTATAATAAAAAATAACTCATCCCGTAACCTTGAAGGGTAGGCAGACTACAACCCTCCCTTTGTGCGGTTCTAACACATCAGTATCGGTTTTTCTACATATGTTTTTCGATTTTTATTGATAATTTAGGAAGTCGAATTTCTTTTTTTGTGTCGAGAATTCTTTCCACAAGTGTCAGATTTTTGTGTCAGTAAAATTGTGCAATAATGTTCCTTCCTTGAAAATAATTTACCTTTTTTGTATTTTGAATGAAATTGTTTTATTTCTAGGGCACTAACCCCGTGCTGTATGACGTGACGGGATGGGTGAAAGCGAGCCGAGAGAACCCAGTCACGAAGAAAGCGCATACCCTCCTACAGGAAAGTCAAAAGTATGTATAAATATTAAATACCAATTTTTTACAAATTAAAACGAAAGTTTTATTTATTTTATAAGTATTACAGTCAACAATAGAAGTTCTATTTCGACAAATTTCATTTACTACTAAATCCTACTAATTTTAAAATCTGAATGTTTAGATGGATGGATGTTTATTAGAATGTGTAGCCTAAACTAAACGGATCTAGATAACATTTGTCATAGATATAGAGGATAGTCTGGAATAGGCTACTTAGTCTTTTTCCTCAATTCCATGTGGACGGAGTCGTGTGTGAAAGCTGGTTAACACCATATATATGTATAACTTCCAGTGAGGATATAGGGCGGTTGTCGTCGTGGTCGCGCGGCGCGTGCGGCGTGGGGGCGTGGTCCGCGGCCGTGGGGGACGCCTCCACGCTGCGCCGCGCCTCCTCCATACGACGCACGCTCACTTCTGGTAATTATGTGGAAATTATCAATTTAACATACTAATTTACACTTTAGATGTAGTTAACCATTAGGTAATTTAAAAATACTGCATAGGAAAGCTAAAAAAAAATCACACTTTAATGTCAGCAATAATAATTGTCGGACATGCTGCAATATTCTACTGTTTTAGAATCAAATATGTTATTCAAACTAACTGTTGTCGTGCGTCTTCTCATATTGTTATGAAAGATTTTATTATTTAAATTCTGTATCACTTTCATTTACAAATGTCAGAATGCTTAAATGACAATGAAGCCCTTTGATATTGGTTAACAATTATCGTTACCATAGCAATCTTCCTTATTTTCTACTATTGGTCTGTAGTTTTTTCACTGTCACTTAGATAGTGTAAAAATATATAGCCTAAAGTGTGTCGTAAGTGTAAAGCTTTCTGTTAAAAACTAAAAATCTTTAAAAATACGATGTTATTGCTGACATCGTACAAAACTGTATTTTTACGTTTTGTTGTATTAGAATAGATAATAATTATTGCTTGTCTGTAATAGGTACAGCTGGTATGAAGCGTCGCTCTACAGCGCTACAAGCGAAGTTTGTAGCGGACGGAGTAGTGGACACGCTGCGGCGCTGCGGCGCGGGCGGCGTGCAGTTCGTGTGCTGTTTGCTCACAAACCAGCCCACTGACACCAACGATGACGTCAATGTGCCTTTACTACGCTCACAGGTAAATACCAGTCACCGACACCTCGGTTACAAGTGAAACTAAGTTATCATAGCTCGCTTGCTCTTATCTTATGCCATTTTGGATGTTTTAGGTTTGTCATTTTTGTGACTGAACGAACCTATCAGCAGCATCTCTGACAGGTCTAGAATTTCTCGTTTGACTATAAAATTAATTGTTTTCATTAGTCTGACGAAAGATGGCGCTGTAGTTAATGAGCAATAATATTTTGATCGGATAATTTTTTCACCAATTAATAGATACTTTCTTACCAAGTAATATAAGCTATTTTTTTCCGGCGCAGACAAAGTCGCGAGCAACAGATAGTTCTGAACTAACTCACTCTTTTATAGTTCCGTGGCTTTCAACTGCTTGACGCGGCCAGACTCTACAAACAAGGATTCCCTGAACACATGCCGTTGTCAGAATTCGCAAGGCGGTGAGTTTACCGTCTTACTACTTTAGTTAAAACATCTTTAATTTAAATAATCGTGATATATATTTTATTTATTGAAAAGCTTGTGTTAGACAACGTAATCGGATCTTCGATGTCTCTTAGACCATTGGTGATTAAACTGATATCTTTTCAAAGGTATCGTCTCCTGGCCACATCGGAGAGTGAAACCCAAGAGAACGGTCAGCAGAGCGCGGCGCTGTCGGACAGGCAGATTGTCGATGACATGCTGCTCGCGCTCGACCTCGACGTCACCAGCTACCGCCTCGGACTGACACAGGTAAGTCACTTTGACAGCTGACAGCTACACAAGATGGCCGCCGACACAGGTAAGTGATATTGTACCACTTTAGAAATGTACCAACATAGTTTAGTTAAGATGTTTATTTTAATTGTCAGTAATAATGTGTTTTTTACAATTTTACTGCAATAATTGAAACTTACGTGTAATTTGACTATTGTAAATTTCTTCACATAAGTATTTTCCAAAATATGATTTTGATATGATACGCTTTCTTTCGTCAAGCAAAGTCTATAAGCTCCTCAGAATTAATAATTAAACGCTAACGTATAAATATAAATGGGAAATAAACATGCAAATTTCACTTTCCTTTAGATAAATTTCTGTACCGACAAGTATTAAATACGTGTTTCTTGGTCAACTCATAATCGTAGAAATACATTCCTCGTATTAGAACAATCTTTTTGTCTCTGTATTATCAAAGGGAATTTAAAAGACAACAATATGTTTTATACAAGTCTTTTGACAGTGGAAACCCACAGTTATAGATGACAAAATGTTTGTGCATCGTCATATGCGTGCACATAATGTAATTTTAAATGTTACCGGTTACGCAATCTCCTATAACTTGTCTTATTACTATGCCTATGGAATGAAAGTAGGCTAAACATAATAGTATGATTATAGGAAATTGTGAGAAAAGTACTCTGTATGTCTCAGATTTAATATTTACCTGATATTAAGGTAATGAGGATAATTGCAACTTTAGACATGACAAGCTTGTTTAGCCCTTTCTATATGTATTAGATAGTTTTTATCTTTACAAATAAAAAAAATGGGCTGCACTGACAATTTTATATCAAGGCTTCCTACGCCTTAAAAATGTATTCCAAAATAGTTTTTTCGACTAGGCTAAACTAGAATAATGTAACCAACCGTTCAGTTTGTCTATTATGATATTTCGGTTCTTAAATAACCTATTCCTGATAAACATTTTATTAAAGGCCTGTCCCACCATTGGCTGATAAAGACTCAGATAGCTTGAAAATGACGCCACTGTCAAATAAGTTAACAAAATCCGATATTTCCATCACATATACACGTTGGATTATTATCAGACGATTTACAATTTGGTGGGACAGGTCCTAAGGAATTTTGGTTTTACTCAAGGAAAGTTTTCAACTTTTATACGATAACCTCATGTACTTAATACTTTAATGATTTATAGTCGTAATAAATGATGAATTTCATTCATTCGTAAACGGTGATTTGGAATTTTAACCATCGACTGACCCACAAATACAAAACTAGTCGCCACCGTATAGAGGTCGAATTTGCATACGACCATTATAACCGATTAAAAACAAAAGAAAGTTGTGCAGATAGTTTTAAATAACAATTGTATAGTTGTTATTTTTTATGAGTAAACATTTAGCAGTCACATACATTATCTCAGTACATTTTTCTAATATCTAAAAAATGCAAATAACAATTTGTCTATGCTAATGTTTAGCTTTCATCTCATAATTTAGAGATACGAAAAGCTCTTGGAATATTCTAAAGTTAAGCTTCAACAGGTTTATTTTAACCTTTCAAACTTACAACCTTTTAATCTTTATTGAACCTTGTAATACCTTAAGGCTATACACAATCAATATTATGATAAAAATTCTTTTAACTTTCAAATTTAATAGTCAGACTAAACGAAAATGTTGCGTTTCAGACAAGTATATTTTTGTTATGTTAAAAAAAATAAACAAGTGCAAATGAAAGTTTTCGATCAATCAATATTTAAATTCGCACAATCATTACATGAATGTTACCGACAAATTAGTTCTTAAAAATAACTGACAATCTATACTTCTATACTAATATAATAAAGCGTAAACACACACTTCTTTGTTGCCTAAGATGACAGCAATCACAGTTTTTCGAATAACACTTTTTTCTTAATAAAACGCCCTACACTTACGTCACGCTTTAGGCTATAAATTTTCACGCCGTTAAACTTATGGGTAAATATTTTGGATAAAAACCCTAATGTGGGAAAGAGACCATAAGTTGTTGGCAACATCAAGGAAGCAAGGTTACTATCGTTTGACATCATGTCATGTCATTTTGACATTTGCAATTGATAATTTGACAAATGTGAACAATAAAATGTTTTTTTTTTTATAATTTTATGCGGATGAAGTCGCATGGGAACAGCTAGATTATTTATAATTTTGTGTATCTCAAGTCGAAAGCCGTGTTAAGTAACTCCGTGCTTGTATTTAGCGTATGTGTAAATTTTATTATCGCTTGCGTTATTCACAGCCCTTTATTATGTATCTTAACACACACTTTCTAACCAATTAAAGTTATATTTCACAAAAGGGATTTAAAAAAAAATCCAAACAAAGCATAAAAAAGTCAAAGGTGAAATAACCGAACTTTTTACAACTTCTTTCTTTTTAACAATCCCGACATTCTATATTACCAGTTGTAAAAAAGGTGCTAATTTTTATAATTATTGCGGTCAATGAAGAACTCAAATGCGTTCTATTCTGTTACAATGTAAATAAAGCGAGTCTCGCAGTGAAAGTGTCTTACGTAACAATTATTATCTACAGATATACTCATCTATCGTTTCTTGATACTCGAGGAAAGGAATAATTTTATGCAATTTTTAAACTAAAAAACTAGCTTGTCGTATTTATTCATCTATAGAAATATCCATGTTGTTCATCATCGTGCTATATTTTAACGGATTGTAATCATTTAGATATAAAGATAATGTCAAATAACAGCACTTTTCATAGTACATAGTGCATAATGAAAACTTAAATTAGATTAAGTCTACATTTCAAATGAATAACCACCAAATCGACACTACATTTTACAGCCTTGGCCTTGTATTCTTAAAAAATACATTTACGTGAATTTGCCATTATATTGCTAAAAATGTAGGACATTTTCGAAAGCATAGATTTTTTATGGAATAAAGCAAAGTTATATCAAGTATCAATTCGCTGCAGTCGTCGTAGCCGATATGCGGTCAGTTCAAAAACGTACAAAAAGCGATATTTATGCAAGAGTACGTAACGAGTTGCGTAAATTACGTGTACCTCGGAACAGGCCTCCCAGTGACCTTATTACTTACCTTTGTAATGCCGAGGTAAGTGTCACTCGCCCCCGTTAGCCATGCACTGCGATGCGATGGTAAAAGTTCAAGAGGCTATGTTGAATCATGTTCCGTTGTTACATAAAGTGTTAAGACGATCGCGGTTATTACGATGAATACAATATATATGGATGTACCTAACTGCCACACTAAAGCGGAGATTTGACTTAATCTAAACTAAGGATCGCTCTTAGTGATTCCGTGTGTGGTAGTTAATAAAATATATTTCTAGCCTTGTTATTTAAATACGAATATACAACTTTATCTCAAAAACCAATATAAAAGCCAATTTTTTTCACAAATCACGAGTTTCTCTTAACCTTGTCCGATACAGAATAATGTTTTAATGAAATATGCGAAAACTTTAAATGGTTCGTAAATTAATTGTTTTTATGTGTTCTTATCGAAGTTGCTTTCGGTTCATTATTTTGTCGAATCTGGTTCATTTTAACTTGATATCGCACTTGATCGGGTCTCATTAAAACAGAATCGGTCTGTTTTGCTTTGAAAGGCTTTAATAAATTTATTTGTAATTACACAGTGAAATGGTACTCTGGTTTGTTTATAGCTTCCAGTCATTGTAGTGTGTCCAGATTCCGAATTTAATTAAAAACAGATGAAAGGTTAAGTGAGAGCCTTTATGATACATAATTATATCAGTTTTTTTCAAAGGAAATATATTTAAGAATACATAATTAACTAAAATTGATATATGGATAAAGTCTTAACTAGATTTCCATACATTGTAGCATTCCACTAGACGACCGCTAGTCCTAGATCAGCGACATTAAGTTTGCTATGTTGAATAGGTCGTATTAAACAATGAAACGTTAAAAAAGAAATAATTTATCCATGGACAGTTATTTTAATTGTTAATAACAAAATAACTTAATTGTTCTTTCTCATACAATATGTTTCTCCTCTACTACTCGTATAATTAGATTTTGTCAGTCTCTATTCATATCGATTATATGATATTTGTTCTATAGATGAACTGGAAAGTATTAATAATAGAACTTTGAATAGATTTTATAGTTTAGAATAATAGAACTTTATATTGCCAATTGATATGTCACGCTGAATAAAGAAACTATTGTATGGATTGATTACTTTTACATTAAACCACTTAAGAAAGGCTATAATTTTGACCTTTAAATTAGCTTTTAATAAAGGTGGTACCATAGATTGTCAATCAATTGAGTCTTTACAAGAAGTCTTTAAAATACAAAGATGGAATTTGACAAAATGTGTATGCATGTTGTATGTACTTGTCAATATTATATTGATCACTAGCTGTTGCCCGCGACTTCGTCCACGCAATATTAAGATAAAAAGTAGCCTATAATATGCCTGTATATGTCATCTATCCTTCCGTGAAAATCCGGACGAAATTGACCCAGCCGTTTCGGAGAGTTCCAGGAACAAACGCGGCTTGCGGACAGACAGACAGACAGACAAAAAATTTTAAATGCGATTTTCGGCATCGGCAACGCAAAAGCATCATTTTCCCGAAATCTGGAATTTTTCTTTGGATATTACAAACAGACACTACAATTTTATTATACGTATTGATTTGTCATTTATTATTTTTTGATGTCGAAAGATGACCACAAGCGTCGCTGTTTGAAAAGTTTTTACCTCAAACTTATCATGAAATAAAAAGTTTTAATTCCGGTCGGTTACAAATTACTAGACACTACACTATCATTAGAGGCCATCCAAGCTATCAATATTTTGAACCGTGCAATAAAATGCCATTTTTCCTCACCCAATCTAATCGCACGTATCGAAACTAGTTTGAAAGTATCACGGGGCCATAAAATATCATGTTGATTGTCGACTGTTTCAAAATTCTAATGAACGTTTATAATTTTTA